ACTTTATAATTGTTGATTTCAGAACAGTTCTCAGCTAATGTGACTATTCCATAACCAATATTGTTTCTTCATTTTGTTTCTGTTAGATTTCTGCCCCTCCGTCCAGTTTGAGTTGGTAATTGGTTATATATAAAAAGACAGATGAGCATTCTTATAGATCCATTCAAACCTCAGGGAATCCCATGCACTTTACAACTTATTGAAATATGTTTTTTGAAGGCTGTGAATCATGTAAACATCACCTCTAGGTGGCACAAAGAGTGCAGATTCACAAAGAGGCCAAGTGAAATACCTATTACACATCTGATGAAAAAAAAAGAGGATTTGACAGATTGGATGTTGAATTAATTTGAAATGATCCCTATGGAGAATGACCCCAGCCAGGGGACAAGGATCATTGAGTTCAGCTCTCTTCAGAGAGTTGTCCTCACTTCAGGTTTTGCCACTTCAACTTTCAATTTCTTTGCTGCTGTTTTCTTCACTGATTGTTTCCGGTCTGCTAATTTCCTCATAATTTTTACCACTTCAACTGACTGGAGTTTCTCACATCAACCCCATGATTAGTCGAAGCTTTCTTTATCACAGCCAGGGACATCCCCTTGTGATTGCACAACCCATCATTGTTTTACGGCTAAATTAAAGCCTAGGTGAAGGCTGCAAACTCATGCAGTCACCAGCACCTACTGCACAAATACAGACAGCAACCATCGTTGCCATACCATCAGGCAGCAAGATGGCCATTTATACCATATATTGAAGTGTGGTCACGTTGCAGCTAAATTACACACTGCAACGTCCCCCAAACTGCATTGCATTAATAACCAAACAATGTGCCTACCTTAATGATGATGGTTCAGAGATACATATTGGCCAGGACACTGTGGGGAACTTACCTGCTCCTCTTTGAAAAATTTGCAGCAGAATCTATTACATCCACCTGAGAAGGGAGATAGGGTCTTGCCATTGCATCCCAGAGATATTCTTCTAACAGTTTAACACCCCCTCAGTTCTGGACTAGGAGTGTTAGCCTGGATTATGTGCTTATGTCTGTACAGTGGGACTTTTGCTATAACTTTGTAGCATATTAATGCACAAGACTGAATATAGAACACTGCACACAATGAGTTTCCTTACTTAAGGAAGGATATACTTAACATTGGAAGCAGCTTAGAGAAGGTTCACTCAGTTGATTCGTGGGATGTCTTATGAGTAAAAGTTGAACAGGTTGGGACTATACTCTTAAAATTTAGAAGAATTTGAAGTGATCTTATTAAAAGGGTTAAAGCTGAAGGGATGTTTCCTCTCCTAGGGGAATCTAGAATTCGGGGTACAATTTAAAGATAAAGGTTGTTAGTCTTCAGAATTCTCTTTCACAGAGAGCAGTGGATGCTGAATCATTGAATATATTTACGGCTGAGTTTGACAGAATTTGACCTGCAAGGGAGTAAAATATAATAGGGGACAGCAAGTAAATGGAGTAAGCGTTACATTCAGATCAGCTATGATCTCACAGAATAGTGGAGCAGGCTTGATGGGCTGAATGGCCGACTCTTACTCCTTCTTCTATTTTGTTACGATCCTATGACGGCACTCACAACCTTCTGACTCATAGACAAAAGTGTTACTCACTGAGTCATGGATAATATAATTGAATCAAATCCGAGTTGCAGTCACTTTTTGTAGTGGTCTGTGACAGTGGCCTTACCAGGACTCCAGTGTTTCACCCTGTAACCTAAAGGAGTTGAGACTACTTGTAACCAATTGCTTTAATCCTTACTGCCACGCTAACAATTACTTCATGACTAGGCAGTTTAGGATCTGCTCTGTGTAGTCCAGTTATTTGCACCACTAATTTGCTCAGTCTTTGGGAGATCTATTGAAGACATTTATTAAAATATTTGGCATATATATGTACAACACAAAAGAACTTTGGTGAGCTACTTACAATGATTACATCTTCAGATTTGTAAATATTTTTGAAACTGTTAATTTAAGTGCTTTGTTGATAAGTGTTTTGCTGCAGGAATAATTTTTAAGGAATAATTATCTGAGTGTAGAACCATGAAGAGCAGGAGCAAACCTCCTGGCACCACTGCAGTACCATCAGCAATACCCCTATCAGACCTTCCTGATCTCCTCTTACATCTTCCAAGTGCCCCATCATTCTCCTGATCACCCCTCCCTCTCCCCATTACCTCTCGTTCAAGATCAATCCTACTCTTGCCAAATTTACCTATACCCTGAGAATTAGTGTTAAAGCCAGTGAGTACAGTGAGTTAATGAGCTTGTGCTTAAGACATATTATTGCAGCAGAATAAAACCTTTTCTCTACACAAACCACATTATGCCGAATGGGTAGGCCACTTGGCATGGTGGCTCAGTGGTTAGCACTGCTGCCACACAGTGTCAGGGACCCATGTTTGAGTCACCCAAGGCTGGAATGTCTGTATGGAGTTTGCACATTCTTCCTGTGTCTGTGCGGGTTTTTGCTAGGTGCTCCAGTTTCCTCCCACAGTCCAAAGATGTACAGGTCAGGTAGATTGACCATGATAGATGATCCCATAGTGTCTAGGGATGTGTACTAGGAGGGTTAGCCATGGGAAATCCAGGGGTAAGGTGGAGGCGCTGGGTCTGGTTGGAATGCTCTTTAGTGGGTTGATGCAGACTTGATGGGCTTAATGGCCCCTTTCTGCACTGTAGGAAATCTGGAATTTTGCAACATAGAAACAATTCCCTTGGTCTGACAGGTCCATGCTCAACTGAAGCTCCCTCCCACAAAATATGGAAGCCACACCACTATTAAGTATTGTGATTCATCATTTTGATGAGCACAAACATTTTATCTGACAATTTGAAAAAAAAAGTAAGATTATGGTGTTTAGAAGATTTATCTGCAAACAACAGTCTGTGGGCTTGCTCTCTGATGAATATGATTTTTGATTAGTCACGTAGTAGCTCCGGAGATATAGATGAAGTTGCGGCAGATGCAGATGTCTGAATTTTCCCTTATTTTTAAATAAATGCATCTTGAATGAGTGCATTTTTTTCCTTGTATTCTCCTATGTTGCAAGTCCAAGCATTTGCAAGCTTTTCATGAAACAATACCCAATTGGCTCACAAATTGGTGTGACAATATCTAATTGTTTGAAAATTCTTCAAGTACAATTAAGACCTTCTGTCGTTCCAAGGTACAAAACTGCCTAGGGAGAGCAGCTTCAATTAAGTTGCACTGTGCACAATTAGCAGATGTTCCTGATAAATCTTTAGATACAGAAGCTTGTTGTGAACGTGCCCTTTGTGACTAAAGGATCAAATCTTGATTGTTCTATAGAACACTGAAACATCTCCAGTCGACAATAAAACTACCACCAAGTTGGAAAGTAAACGGAAAGTGTAGGGAAATTCGTATTTGGAGGCTGAATGTCTTGAGGAAAAGCAGAAAGACTTGCTTTACAGCCAGTGAAGTACATTGTGGGTTGAAAACAAAAAATTGCTGGCGATCACAACTGGTCAGGCAGCATCCACGGAGAGAAAGCAAGCTAACGTTTCGAGTCTAGATGACTTTTCATCAGAGCTGAAGTGAAGTGTGGAGGGGGCAGCATTTATGCAAGAGTGGGAGAGGGATTTGGAGTGCTGGGGGAGAAAGGATTTTCTTAATTCAGATTCAGTGATTGGAATGTGAGAATGGCAGAACAATGGCGTGTCTAACTGCTAGATTGAAAAGAACAGACAGTCCCACTGGGGTGGCGGGAGGGGAGAGAGGATAACAGAGAATGTAACAAGCAAAGCTAAGAGAAAAGAAAGGAATGGGTTGACAATTTAAAGGTGTTGAATTCAATATTGATCCCAGAAGGCTGTAAACTGCCTAGTTTGAAGATAAGACGATGCTCCTCCAGTTTACGATATGATTCGCTGGAGCATTGCAGGACGCCGAGGACAGACAAGTGGGCATATGAGCAAGACACTGTGTTAAAATGATAGGCTATGGGAAAGTCAGGGTCATGCTTGCTGAAGGACTGGATGTGTTCTGCAAAGCAGTCACTCAGTCTGCACTTGCTTTCTCCAATGTAGAGTAGGCCACACTGGGTGCAGCGAGCACAATACACAAGATTGGAGGAAATGCTGCTTCACCTGGAAAGACTGTTTAGGCCCTTCTGCACCTTCTGCGATTACTTGGGGAAGTGCTTTGGGAAGGGGGAGTGGTGCTGGTGGTTAAGGAATGGACTAGGGTGTCCCAGAGGGAACAATCCCTGTGAAATGCAGATGGGGGAGTAAGGGGAAGATGTGTTTGATGGTAGCATTCTGCTGGAGTTGGCTGAAATGGTGGAGAATGATTCTTTGAATGAGGAGGCTGGTGGGGTGAAAAGTGAGAACAAGGGGGACCTGATCATGTTGTTGAGAGCGATGGGAAGGGGCAAAGGTCGGAAGCATGGGTGATAGGTCGGATGTGGTTGAGGGCTCTGTCAACCACAATGGGCAGGAAACCACGGTTAGGGAAGAAGGAAGGCATGTCTGCAGCACTGTTTTGGAAAGTGGCTCATTGTGGAGTTTAGACACTATTGTAATGTCAGAAATGTGGTTGCTATCCTGATCAACAGCAAGCTCCCAGAAACAGCAATGCAATAATGACTAGAATGATGTTGATTGAGGGATAATCATTGGCTAGGGCATAGTGGGGTTCTCACCTGCTCTTCCATCAAAGGCCATAGGGATTTTCTTTATTAGCCTGAGGGAACAGAAGGGATGTTGGTTTAAACTTTCAATATGGGACCTCAGACACTGCAGCATTCCCTTAGTCTGGCATTGTGAGTGGCAGTGTAGAATTTGTACTCCGATCTCAAAAAAAAGGAGGGTGCATACACCTACGATAATTTAACATTCCTCTTTATTTATGAAACACCACCTAAAAGTAACATTACAGAAATATAGCATGCATAAACTGCTTGTAAGAGTTTGATGGCATTTTGGGGCATAGATAAAATTAAGCATTTACGCAGGGCTGTCAAACAGCAATGTTTATTGAGTGCTTACAGAATGTTCCTTTTAGATAACTCTGGTCTTGGACTGCATAGTGCCTCAATGAATTAGCGCCAAAACTGTACAGTGTGCTTGATGTTTTCCACTGGGTGTTATCCAGCTCAGGCATAACCTTTGTCAACAAAAGCAGGAAATGTCAGACATGCAGCTGGCATCTGCACTCAACATTATTTGTCCTGTTGCAAAGTTTTAGGCTTGTACATTTATTCAAAATGAAAATTAAGGAGACTGACACATTTAGTTTTAGAATCAAAAAAAGGAAGGGAAAATAAAATACAAACAGCTGAACAACAATGAATGTGGCTATTGGTAAAATAATTGGATCATTTCAGTTAGATAATGGAAATATTAACAAAAGAAATCAAACTAAAGAAACAAAATCTGTGTGGATGTTTCAAAGCAGTGGGGTTGGAAGGAAGATTAAAGAGAAAGTGAAAGGTGATAAATATTGAAAGTCCAGGGAGTAGTGTCACACTTCAAAGCAAAGCAGAAAGAGTTGGCAAAGTTCACTGGGTCGACCAATATCAAAAATATTGACTCACTTACCAGAACCTTCAAATCCTACCAACATGAAGAAAGTTGTGATAAATTCAGATTGGTTTGTTTGATTTCCTTGCTTTTCCACAGGGTTGAAAGTATTTTGAAAGTAAGTGAGGCTGGTATTTATAAATCACCCTCTCACAACCTAAAGATGTCAAAAACACTTTTCAGCCAATTGAATAAGGAGCAGGGCTGAATATTACATTTTTTTGGCTAAGTGCACATGCAAGTTGTGCTGAGGTTTTCAATTAGTTGGCAAGCAGATTCCCTCTTTTCATATGGTATAAACTGTTATTTTTCCCTTTATGTTTGTATTGTTTTGTGAATTGTCCTGAAAGAAAAGTTTTATCAAAATACATTTTTTTTCAGAAATACTGTTTTGTGGTGTTGATTGAAGGTCAAATAAGAACGCTTCCTGCTATTTATCGATTACAGTCATCTGTTATTGACAAAGAGCTGTAATCTACAGTACATCCACCCACAAGGTTGGATGAAATTTAGGCTAAATATCTATTTCAAAAAAATGACATATCCAACGATGCAGTACACTGTAATTCTATGCAGGAGTGTTAGATTTGCAGGAGGATTTGATATCTAACCTTTTGACTGAGCAGCAGGAACACTATCTACCTTTGACACATACACATGCAGAAGGCTTTCTGAAACAGTTCAGAAAATTCAACTTTGACATACAAAATCGAGTTTCCTGAATGCATCTTCTTATGTCACTGTTGGTCTGACAATGCTCTTTTGTCAAGTTTAGAGGCTTTTCTAAATTAAAGGTACAATATGAATGCAACTTCTGTTTGTTATATCGTTTCTTTGGTTGGAAGTGTCAGTTTAAATGGTGGACTGCTTCATATCTGCAATTAATGTCAAGCTTCTGATCAGAGCCAGCATTCAGCATCCTATGGTTTATCCCTACAGTGATAGAATGAAAAATAAATACAAGAATAAATAATTTAATATTGGAAATAGAATCCAGTTTCTAATAAAACTATCTCAGATTGATTTAAGGTATAAATGCACATCTATCTTTGCAACTTTAATTAAGAAAAGTAGCACTTATGACTGGAATTGATATATTGTTATGGCAGCAAGCAGCATGCTTCACCATCACACAACAGTGTTCAGGATACCTGTATTCTTCACTTATTGCTACCAACAGGAATATATTATTTCCTTTAATTCACAGAATGTAACAATCTGAGTTCATTTTTATAAATTTATCATTTTCATCTGCAGGATATATAAGTTTTGTATGGTGCTGCCATATGTGAAAAAGATCCTTCACCATTTATGTGGAAAACTTGGAAAAGGACATGTTGTAGCAAATCACACATCCATTTGGATAATTCATGTTATGTAGAACTGATTATAGATAAGATAAAGCATAAAAGAATAACATTTCTCTATGTCTTGAACAGTCTATACATACATGGATGCATTGAACTATGAGGGTAAAACCAATCACCTGGTGGCTGTTTGCTCTTACAACTATTCAATGTGTACCCCTTTAGCTTGCCTTTGAGCAAGGCTGTCGTGTAATGCTGCATGGGGTGCTTGTAAAACTCAAAACAGTATCCAATATTACAATCTGATTCTGCAAATTGACAACATCTGCTAAATACTCCTGTGTGTGCTGAGAATTATGCTGTCAACTAATTTAAGATTTTCAGTCAGTCTCAGTCTACTGCACCTGCACATAATGTTAGCTACAGATATGTAAACACAGGGCCTGGTTGTCTGCAGACAGAATATGTATACACATTCTCCTGTATCAACTGAACAAAACACACAACTGCTATTCTCTGGTTTGTTGCTCAGGGCAATGCCTTGACCAATCAGAATAAATTTGCTTGGGTTAAATTTAAATAAAGCTTTGCAGTAAACGGTCAGTCTTCCCCTCACTAGTGCATTCTCCGTGACAGTGACTCTACCAGTCAGAGTCTTTTTGCCACCAATCAGAATTCTCTTCTCATACAGTATAAAATATTGTTCCCTGTTACATTGGTATTTTTGAGAATGACCTGATGAGTGCAAAATGGAAAACTTTGACAAAATATATTTTTTTTATTGATACTCAGGATATAAATCAGTTAAGTGAGTGGGCAAAGATCTGTCAAATGGAGTATTACGTGGGAAAATGTGAAATTGTCTGTTTTGGGAGAAAGAATAGAAAAAGAAGCATCTGAATTGCAGTGCTCTGAGTTACAGAGGAACTTGTGTCTTCATGCATGAAGATCAATATGCAAGCAATTAGGGACACTAATAGAATGTTGCTATAGCGAGAGCAATTAAATACAGAAGGAGGGAGGTTATGCTTCTATAGGGCATTGGTAAGACCACATCTGAAGTACTTTGTAGTATATTGGTTACTGTATTTAAAGAAGGATGTAAATGCATTGGAAGCACTTCAGAAATGGTATGCTCAACTGATACATCAAATAGGCTGGTTGTCATTTTTCTCAATATTGGATGGGCTAGGCTTGCATCCACCAGAATTTAGAGTAAGAAGCAAGTTGATTGAAACATAAAAGATACTGTGGGTGTTGACGGGGGGGGATGTCAAAAGGATTCCCTTGTGCAATGAGGGCTCACTGTTTAAAAATAAGATTCATCTGTTTATGGCAGATAAGGAGAATTTTTTTTTCCTCATATGATTCTTTGGAACTGTTGTTCTCAGAACCCGTGGAAGTAGGTTTTTTTGAATAATTTTAAGGCAAATTTGGACAGAGTCTTGATGAGCAAGGGGGTGAAAGATGCTAGGATGCAGTCAGAATTATGGAGTAATCAGATCTTATTGAAAAACAGAACAGGCTCAAATAGCTGAGTTGCCTGGCATTGAGCCACAAATGCTGACCTAAACTACAATGCCTTCTTTCCACAAATGAATTTTTAAAAAAATTATCAAGCAATTAATATTTTAAACTCTGTAAGCACATTTCACAAGTCGAATCTAGTTCCTGACATTTAAACTTGTGTCAGAGCTACAAGTAAATAAAAATGAATTATTGTACCGCTGAGTTACACTGACTCAAAGCAGTTATTTTCTTACTGGGCATTTTTCCACTTTAATTTTAATTTTTATGCTCATCGTGAGGCCATTGGATCATATCTTTACTATGCTGTTGAAAAAGAAATGTTACTGGATGCTGCTAAGTTCCCTGTTTGTGTGCATTAGATAACGATGCCTGTTTGGGTGTCAACGCTGAAACCGCCTAATCCAGTTTCAGAAAAAAGGACATCACTACCTTAGTCAAACATTTCTACTTGGTTATTTTATAAAGAAACATAATTCTCAGCAGTGGTAGAAAATGGACACGTCTGACCATGGTCAGAAAACCACTGATCAGGAAATTTCAGGTAACATTTTCTGTAACAGAAAGTAGCAGTCGCTGTTAGTTAAGTAAAACGCAAAGGTTATTTAGTTCCTTTGGCATATATTAGTTGCTGAATGCTTGTAAAGTTCAAAACAGTAGAATCATTTACTCTATTTTTGGGAGTACCCAATATGACAGTAAATGAGTGATAATCTAATTGATAATCATGATTTCTGGTAGTATAAACTAATTTCACAGTTCTGAGAATCCACAAGAGATACTAGAGGTGGTTCATTTGGTTTTAATGGGTAACATGTCTCATTCTAAAAGGTTTGTTTTGCAATTTTGTGTATTAGCGTCCCACAATTATATTGAAAATAATAATTTACTTCACCAGACTTTTGTAATACAAGCTAGTTCATATTTGACATAAAATGGAAAATTCAGTTCTTTTAATAATATTTCTATGCATTGCCAAATATGGAGTAGGAATCTATACAATTAGCACTATTTTAGTATAAAGTGTTTTGTGTAATATACATATTACTTGAATTTAACAATGTAAAATTGGCATAGCTGCAATTTTGTTTCTAAAGTGTAGAAAACTTACCTAAATGCAATCATTTAAATAAGAGTTGATCCTTCCACAATTGATAATGGTAAATACTTCAGGGGAGATCTTAACTCTACTGGTGAGTGGAAAAGGAACGATGGAGTAACTAAAATGATGAATGTTCGTTCATGACCATTCCCCATTTAATTGCCACCAGTTTTGATAAGAACTGTACCACAATGATAGTTAACCTGCACCCTGGTATGAACCTATCTAATGAGCTTTCCCAAGTAAAGCTGCTGAGAAGCCAAAGACACTCTGAAGGTAAGTGGAAATCTTTTCTGAGCGGGATTCTTATTTTGGTGCATCTTCATGCTTCACAAGGAATGCCTGGATTTTTGCTATGCAGGATTCTTTCTCAGCCACGACAAACTTGCAACATCCCATCCTCCACCACAATGCCAAACCCTGTTGTAAGCATCAACCTTGTTGCAATTGATGGCGGCAAGCAATGTTAATGTTTCCCAACATGCATTTTCCAATTGTTGCTCTGTATCTGGGATATTTCACCCAACTGTACAAAGCTGCAAAAATCTACCTGCTCTTCCAATTCTGGTCTGTTGCCTACTCCATTTTCATTATTCCACAATGGACATCTGTGCATTCAGCTCCCTGGATCCCAAGCTCTGAGATACCCCACTTAAGTCTTTCTACCTCTACTGCTTTTAAGATACTCTTTAAAACCTACTCCTTTGACCAATATCTCCTTATGTGGCTTGGTGTTATAATTTGTTAGATAATGTTCCTGTGAAGCAGGTTGGAATGTTTAATTACATTAAAGGTGTTCTGTAAATTTTAGGTTTTGTTGTTGGGTGTGGAACAATCATGCACACAAAATGCAAAATAATTGATTCTGCATATCTTGAATGTAACCACAGTTTTACGTTACAGATTGTTGATTTGCCTTTTACAGTCACTGTGTTTGAAAGATAAATACTTGGAGCAAAAAAATTGAGAAATAGGAGGAAAATGGAGTTGCTTTAATAGGGTTGTTGTTTAGTTCAAAGAGTTAGCAATGGATTGAATGGTCACCTTCTGTGATGTACAATTTTTTTGAAAAAAAGCATCACTAACCCATCACGGGTGATATCTCCACTGCTCTGTCTACCTTGACTTGCAATAGCTTCTGCCCTACAGGGGAATGGGATGAAATTTCCCCAACATTTACACCATTGTTTACAATTATCTTGCTGACAGCAAGTGACTTTTAAATTTTCTGAGAATTTTATTAGCATAGATCAATGTAAAAACTGGTATAAAGTAAGCAGAAATCAATAAATATATTCATGGCAGGGAAAGGTCCAGAAAGTTTTCATGTTCCTCTGTTATGTCCTGCCTCCCTTATCCAATTTGAGAAATTAAAAGTCTGAAGTTGTTGTGCCAGCATAGATGCATTGCATAAGGCATACAGCATGTAGAACTTCTGTATTATTAGTATAGAATCATAGAAATTTACAGCACAGAAGGGGCAATGAGGTCCATCATGCTCTTGGAGAGGGCTTTCCAATTTAGGCCCAACCCCAGTTTTTTTTCCATAACCCTGCAAATGAGTCCTCTTCATGTACCTGTAAAATTAGTTTTCCAAGCTCTTTTGAAATGTGATTGCACCATCTTTTCAGGCAGTCTGATCTAGACCATAACAACCCTCTGGATGGAAACATTTCTTCTCATTTCCCTTCTGGTTCTTTTTACCAATTATTTTAACTCTATGACTTTTGGTAACCTACCACTTGTCAGAGAAAATAGCTTTTTCTCCGCTTGCTGTATCAGAGCTCTCATACATTTGAGTGTTGATATTAAATCTCCCTTTGCTTTTCACTGCTGTAAGGGGAACAATCCCAGTCTGTCCTGTCTCATCATATAATTGAAGTCCCTCATCCATGGTATCATTTTAGTAAATCTCCTCTGCATCTTCTCCAAGATCTTGACATATTTCCTGCAGTGTGGTGCCAAGAATGGCACACTGTATTCCAATATAACAGAGTCTGTGTCATAAAAATTATTCACCCATTCATAGATAGAAAATGCTGTGCAACTCTCAATGAACAGCAATGTTTTAAAAAGTGTTATAAAACACTAGAAGTATTCATTTACATTGAAAACTAATGAGAAACCAACTTGAAAACAGGCCAAATAAAAACCAAAAGAACTGCGGATGCTGTAAATCAGAAACAGAAATTGCTGGAAAAGCTCAGCAGATCTGGCAGCATCTGTGGGGAGAAATCAGAGTTAACATTTTGGGTCGAGTGACCCTCCCCTAGAGCTGATGATAGCTAGAAAACTATCGGTTGGTGGGGGGAGGGGTAAGGAGTAAACAATTGGTGGAGATAGAGCCCAAAGGGAAAGAAGAACAGTTGGACAGACAAAGGAGTGGAAAACAATCTGGTCAGGAGAGTGAATAGCTATTAATGGGGACTGTTAGTGACTGTCCATGACTGTTGCACACAATCCATTTTTAGCCTTAACAGTCCCCATTAATAGTTATTCACCCTCCTAGCTAGATCATTATCCACTTCTTTGTCTGTCCAACTGTTCTTCTTTCTCTTTGGGTTCTATCCCCACCTATCAATTACTCCTTACCCCTCCCCCCACCCTATCTTCTGTATTTAAACCGATATTTTTCTAACTATCATCAGCTCTAAGGGAGGGTCACTTGACCGGAAATGTTAACTCTGACTTCTCCCCACAAATGCTGCCAGACCGGCTGAGCTTTTCCAGCAGTTTATGTTTCTGTCTCAGAAAACAAGCCATTTGAGCCAACTATTCCATATTTGTGCTTATCCCTTCATGTGATGAGAAATATTTCCTGTTACCCTTCTCCTGGCTTCAGGTAATTCTGCACCTAAAATTGTGGCATAGTTTTATGTTTATAAAAGTGTAAATGCAGCATAAATATGTTCTCACCAATTTCAGTGAGATGGGGATTGGGGGAATGGGGAGGGGGGCATGCACTGGGTCAATGTTAATGATCCAAATGCTTTTCCAACAGAACAACTTGGGGTTGATGCAAGAACCATGGAAATTCACACACAACCATTTTTTGGCATACGTTTTATGCAAAGTGCTTAATGGCTGCATTAAACTAAAATGGAAGCACTACAGTAGAGGTCACATGATCTCTTCCTTCTTTCGCAAAACACTCTAAATTTTTGCTCTCTGGTTCTTAATCCTTTTACGAGTGAAAACTTTGACTTTTATACATTACTAAAAAAATTTATCATATGACCTACTTACTTGACTGTGGGTATTTTGAATGGCACCTTTTCTTGTGTTCAGCTGGTGAGCTTTCTGTGGCATTCATACTTGATTCTGATTGGGATCAGTAATGGCTTCTTGCATTCCATTTCAATGTTCATAGACAAGCAGGTCATTCACAATAGCTTCCACTTTGTGAAGAATGCTGACTATCTTGTTATCTGTATTTGGGAGCAATGAAAATGCCAAATGGCCATTGGAACCATCTGCTTCACTTGAATGGCATTCAGACTATAGTTAGAAAACTTCTGCTTTCACTCAGCTTTACTTGCCAGTGACCATCCTTTGCATCAAGGGTAGGAAAGAGCTTTGTGGGAAGAGTGAAACTGATGCCCCTGCCTTTGTGGGCATATTTTTCTAAAATCAGTGGTGAATGCTAACACTTCACCATTGACTGTGACATCTGGGTATATATTTTTGAGATCTCATATTCAGGTCCTAGCCACTTGTCTTTGTAGATTAATTGAATGGAGTATGATACGAAATGTAATAATAAAAAAAAGATTCAAGCACTTCTGGAAAACAGAATTTCATGAATGAATTGAAGTATTAGCAAATCTAATTTGTAACAAAATTATGTGCAAAGCGTAAATATAAGATCAAGTGTCAATATGGGGCTTTGTAAAGATTAGGGTAGATTATTACATTTGGTGAGTTAGCATGAAATAATTTCTTTCTTCTTGACTTTCAACTCTACAAAGGTAAGACAGTGTTTGAAGAAAACACAACATATTAAACCAGAAGTCGCGTGAGAATGAAAATTTACCTTACCTGAACAGTTTGTTGTTTCCCACCAGGAATTCTTCCGTATCGTTTGCGGGATCGTGAACAACTGAGGAAAAGGAAGCTGGAAAATCAAGAGAAGAAAACCTCACAGTGAGTGATTAAATATGGCGTGATTGTAATAATTGTGAAGTATAAAGAAAGATGATTTACAGCCATCCCATCTTAAAGGGATGAATGTGTACACACTCTGGCTGGAAGTGCTCAATGTAAAATGAAACTTGTGTGTGAACTCACAATTTAAAACCAATCCCAACTTGGCACTGGTTGGATTCACAGATGAATATTGTGTGGTAGAAACTGAAATTATGGTGGTCTCATAGTTGCAAGTATTGCTCAATCCACCAACCTCTTTCCTCAGTAAAGTGAAAACATATGTCTTTCTCTCTTGAACTGACACAAGCAAGTGCCCTTCCAATAAAAAGAATAAGGCAAAATAACAGGAGGTTTTCACAGGCTAGTATTTATTATTTATCCTTGGAGGTGGTGGTGAGCTGCCTCAGTGGCTTGCTAGGGCCATTTCAGAGGACACATAAGAGTCAACTACGTTGCTGTGGGTCTGCAGTCATGAATCAGCAAGACGAGGGAAAAACAGCAGATTTACTTTCCTAAAAGACAATAGGGTTTTATGACAATCTTGGCCATACATTTATATAAATGTAAATCACTGCTAAACACATTTGTAATCCAAAGTCCATAAAATTATAAAAAATGCACAGCCCTGAAAGAAGCCATTTAGTCCATTCAGCCAATGCTAGTATTTATGCTCCACTTGACCCTTTTCTTATCTTTCCTTATGTAGCTATCAACATAACCCGTTATTCCCTTCTCCCTCAAGTTTTTATCCATATTCCTCATACTGTTCATTTTAACCATTCCTTGTGGTAACCAATTCAACATTCTCACCACTGTCTGGCTAAAGAATTTTCTCCTGGGTTCTGTTTGATTCTTTTCCTAGTAGTGGAAACACTCTTATGTTTACTTCATCAAAACATTTCATAATTTAAAAAACCCCAATTATGTTGCCAAATTCAAGGTGAGTTTCAGTCTCCTTTTCTATTCCTGCTAGGCATAACCTCAGTTCTAACATCTTTGTCAATATTTTTGTTTCTTCCCCATAGTTTGATTGTATGGCAACCACATAGCCCATCATGCTCCAGCTGTTGTCCAACCACCGTTTTTTAAAAATTTGTTGGATGTGTGCGTTGTTAGCAAGGCCGACATTTATTGCTTAGCTGTGTGTCATAGCAATGCTACCTCCAGGTTGTGCAGGGCACCTACTGTTGCACAAACTCCACCTGGCAGTACTATGTCACTGCCAAGCATCAGACACTGCTGCCTTCTTACAGGGAGGGTGGGCTATTGAGCCACTCTTTGGGCATTCAGTGAAGCTCAGTTAAAATCCTTGGTGTTGTCGGCATTCCACCCATTCCAAATATAGCCTGGAGCTGCTATCTCTCCCTCATTCCACCATGAGGAGCTGCCTGGCTACACTGCCAGCACTACTCCAGGGTCTTTGCCCCTGTCCCAGCCTTCTCCAATACGCAGAAATTGGGCCACAGCAGGGCCATCCATGCGTGTACAGATGGTGATGTTATTCCACACAGCGCATGGTGCTGTTGACCACACATGCATGGATGCATTCTGACTTAAGGCAGTCTGTCAGCAGCAACTGATGTCACTAGGCCTGTTTGTGCAGGTAGCCATTTTGACAGTAATCTGTGTGTTTGGGCCAATTTGTCCATTATTGCCCAGCCATTTTTTCCTTGCAGGGGATTTTGAGCCATATTGTTAAACCATGGCAGTCCCTGTAGTATATATGCAATCACAGAGCTTTAGGGAGAGAATTCCAGGATGGAAGGAATGGGGATACAGGATGGTGTAGAGCTTGCAGGTGGGGTGTTTTTTTTTTAAATTCATTCACGGGATGCTGGTGTCATTTTATTGCCTATCCCTAATTGTCCAAAAGGCAGTTAAGAGTTGACCACGTTGCTTTGGGTCTGGAGTCACATGTAGGCCAGACCAGGTAAAGATAGCAGCTTCTTTCCCTGAAGGACATTAGTGAGTCAGATGGGTTTTTCGAACAATTGACAATGGTTTCAGGGTCATCATTAGGCTGTTAATTCCAGGCATCTGCTGCCCTTCTGCTCCTATGGTGGTAGAGACTATGCATTTGGAGAGTTTGTCAAAGGAATGAGTTGTTGCAGTTATTCTAGACAATGGTATTGCTGTCATTGATGTGCTGATGGTAGAGGATCTAGATGTTTTATTAAGGGATCAATGGGGTTTCTGATCAAGTGAACTACTTATTCTGGGATGGTGCTGATTTCTTGATTGCTGATGGAGCTGGACCCTTCAAGGCAAATGGGGAATATTCCATTACACTTTAAACGGTGGATGGCTTTAGGGAGTTGTGAGATGAGTTATCACTGCAGAATTCTCAGCCTCAGAGATGTTCTGGTAGCTACAGTATTTAAATGCATGAGTTAAGTTTCTGCTCAAAGTGAGCCCCCAGGCTGTTTTTGATGGGGAAATCAGTGATGGTAATGCCATGGAATGCCAGGAGAAGGTAGTTTTATTTTATCTCTTTGGAGATGGTTATTGGCAAGCACTTGTGTGGCTTGAATATTATTTACCACTTATCAGCCCAACCCTGAATGTTGTCTGGGTCTCGCTGCATGTAGTCACGGATTACTTTAATGTCTGAGAAATTACACATAGAACCGAACATCATGCAATCATTAGTAAACGTGACCATTTCTGGCCTTGTGCTGAAAGAAGGATTGTTGATGAAGCAACTAAAGATATTTATGTCAAGGATACTACTCCTGCAATGATACACTGAGGTTGAGGTGATTGGCCTCCAACAAGTACAGTCATCTTTCTTTATGCTTGATGCGACTGCCTCGTGGATGGATTTCCCTCCAATTCCCATTGACTTACAGTTTTCTTAGTCTTCTTAGTGCTACACTCAGTAAAATTGTGTCTTGATGTCAAGGCTGACACTGTTACCGCACCTCTGGAATTTCGGTCTTTTGTTTACGTTTACGCATACTGCAATGAGTCTGGAACTGAGTGGCCCTGACAGAACTCAAACTGAGCTTTCAGCAGGTTACTACTGTGTAAATGCTTGAGTGAATAAGAGTAATTTATGTCCTATTCTGAGTGATTAGTTATATAGTCAGTTCAAAAACATTACACAATCAAATGTAGAGTACAAACCAGAGATATATATCCGAATAAATATGTATTTTATTTTGTTTTCATTTTCTTACTGTGCCTTGATTATTCCCAATTATGAGCTCCACTTATGAGTGTAATTGACTCACAGGGTTAAGATCACCAATCAATTAGCACTAATTATCTTCTGTAGTGAATCCTTTAACTGGTGTTCTTTCACCTGGGATATTTTTTAAGGCAAAAACTAGTTAAAAGGACTCCAAGACAACAAGGTGCAGGGCTGGATGAACACAGTAAGGCCCTCCGCTTCTTCCTGTCCCGCAGGCCCGACCAGTCCCCCTCCACTGACACCCTCATCCGCTTAGCCGAACTCGTCCTCACACTCAACAACTTCTCTTTCAATTCCTCCCACTTCCTACAGACAAAGGGGGTAGCCATGGGTACCCGCATGGGCCCAAGCTACGCCTGCCTCTTTGTAGGTTACGTGGAACAATCCCTCTTCTGTACCTACACCGGCCCTAAACCCCACCTCTTCCTCCGTTACATTGATGACTGTATCGGTGCCGCCTCGTGCTCCCACGAGGAGCTCGAACAGTTCATACACTTCACTAACACCTTCCACCCCAACCTTAAATTTACCTGGACCATCTCTAACACCTCTCTCCCCTTCCTGGACCTCTCTGTCTCCATATCGGGCAACCACCTAGAAACCGATATTCATTTCAAGCCCACCGACTCCCACAGCTACCTAGAATACTCCTCCTCCCACCCACCTTCCTGCAAAAATGCTATCCCCTATTCCCAATTCCTTCGCCTCCGCCGCATCTGCTCCCAGGATGAGGCATTCCACTCCCGTACATCTCAGTTGTCCTCGTTTTTCAAGGACCGTAACTTCCCCTCCTCGGTGGTCGAGAACGCCCTCAACCGTGTCTCCCACATCTCCCGCACCTCATCCCTCACACCCCGTCCACGCAATAAAAACCAAAAAAGAATCCCCCTCGTCCTCACGTACCACCCCACCAACCTCCGGATCCAACGCATCATCCTCCGACACTTCCGCCATCTGCAATCCGACCCCACCACCAAAGACATCTTTCCCTCCCCACCTTTATCTGCTTTCCGGAGGGACAACTCTCTCCGTGACTCCCTTGTCCGCTCCACACTCCCCTCCAGCTCCACCACACCCGGCACTTTTCCCTGCAACCGCAGGAAGTGCTACACCTGCCCCCATACCTCCTCCCTCACCCCCATCCCAGGCCCCAAGAAGACTTTCCACATCAAGCAGATGTTCACCTGCACATCTGCCAATGTGGTATACTGCATCCGCTGTACCCGGTGTGGCTTCCTCTACATCGGGGAAACCAAGCGGAGACTCGGGGACCGCTTTGCAGAACACCTACGCTCGGTTCGCAACAAACAACTGCACCTCCCAGTCGCGAACCATTTCAACTCCCCCTCCCATTCCTCAGACGACATGTCCATCCTGGGCCTCCTGCAGTGCCACAACGATGCCACCCGAAGGTTGCAGGAACAGCAACTCATATTCCGCTTGGGAACCCTGCAGCCCAATGGTATCAATGTGGATTTCACAAGTTTCAAAATCTCCCCTCCCCCCACCGCATCCCAAAACCAGTCCAACTCGTCCCTGCCTCCCTAACCTGTTCTTCCTCCCACCTATCCCCTCCTCCCACCTCAAGCCGCACCTCCATCTCCTACCGACCAACCTCATCCCGCCCCCTTGACCTGTCCGTCCTCCCTGGACTGACCTATCCCCTTCCCAACTCCCTACCTACACTCACCTTTCCTGGCCCCATCCCCGCCTCTTCGACCTGTTTGTTTCTTCTCCACCTATCCTCTCCTCTATCCCTCTTCTATCCGCCTCCCACTCTCTCCCTATTTATTTCAAAACCCCCTTCCCCTCCCCCTTTTCTGATGAAGGGTCTAGGCCCGAAACGTCAGCCTCTCTGCTCCTATGATGCTGCTTGGCCTGCTGTGTTCATCCAGCCCTGCACCTTGTTGTCTCGGATTCTCCAGCATCTGCAGTTCCTACTATCTTTAAAAGGACTCCAACCGGCTTGTTCATTAACTAATTAACTTTATGGCAGTCCAAGGCCTTTTAATCTTGTATAGTAAAATTACCAGGCTAACGTGAAATTATTCAGCAGGTCTGGCAGAATCTGTGGATAGAGAAAGAGTTAAAATTTAAGATCAATGATAATTTGTCAGATTGGTTTGTACTCACTGACCTTTAACTCTATTCCTCTGCCCACAAATACTGCTTGACCTGCTGAGCATTTCCATCATTTTCTGATTTTGTTTCAATTTTTCACCGTCTACAGTATTTTTACTTCCCATCAAGTTACTCTGTTGCATTGTTGGAGAAACTCAGCAGGTCTGGCAGCATCTGGTAAGAAAACAGAGTTAATGTTTTGAGTCCAGTGACTCTTCATCATAACTCCAGTAATTTCTGTTTTTGATTCAGATTTCCAGCATCTGCCAATTCTTTGAAAAGGCAAATCAGGGCAGGATTTATACACTTGATGGTAAGGTCCTAGGGAGTGTTGCTGAACAAAGAGACCTTGGAGTGCAGGTTCATAGTTCCTTGAAAGTAGCGTTGCAGTTAGACAGTATAGTGAAGAAGGTATTTTGTATGCTTGCCTTTATTGGTCAGTGCATTGAGTACAGGACATTTTGGAATACTGCTTTCAATTCTGGTCTCCCCGCTATAGGAAGGGTGTTATGAATCTTGAAAGGTTCAGAAAAGATTTACAAGAATGTTGCCTGGGGTTGGAAGGTTTGAGCTAATGGGAGGGGGTGAATAGGCTGGGGCTATTTTCCCCAGAGTGTTGGAGGCTGAGGGGTGACCTTATCGAGGTTTATAAAATCATGAGGAACACGGATAGGGTGAATAGGCAGGGTCTTTTCCCCCAGGGTAGCGGAGTCCAAACTAGAGAGCATAGGTTTAAGGTGAGAGGGAAGATTTTGAAGGGACCCAAGGTGCAACATTTTCATGCAGAGCGTGGTGCATATATGAAAGGAACTGCCAGAGGAAGTGGTGGAGGCTGGTACGATTACAACATTTTAAAGGCATCTGGATGCGTATATGAATAGGAAGAGTTTCAAGGGATATGGGTCAATTGCAGGCAAATGAGACCAGATTAATTTAGAATATCTCGTTGGCACGCTTGAGTTGGACCAAAGGGTCTGTTTCCATGCTGTACAGCTCTATGACTCCATGGTTCTAGTATATTACTCTGTTATCCAAATATAAGGCATAGGTGCTTGTTGAAATTCTGTCTGGATATTGAGATGTTGGTTTGTGCTTTACTATTCTCACTCTACTAAGATTTTGTATTTGCTTGTTAACATGTAAGTCTCTTCCCTGTGTAACCTCAAATTCTGTTGACCATAATGGGACTGAATAACAGGCATTCTGTAAAGAGAGCGGAATTCGGATCGTGCCTTTATTTCACGTCTACCTGAACTGAATTCCTACCTTTATTTCTCCCAAGATCTTTACCAATTGTTATCAACAAGTCTTTTCTTAAAACTTTATTTAAATTATCTAAGCATGAAACATTTGCCAAATGATTAAAGCTGCCCTTTTGTACTTGCTATCATTAATTCACAGGGAGGAGTCAAAGGGAAAAAGAAGAAGAAAGACAAAGGCTAAGGGACCGAGCAACAAGCACACAAAAAAGCCAGTTGCTGAACCAAGTCCTAGCCCAAAACCAGAGACTGCAGAAGAACACAAAGTGGAGACCAAAAACCAACCAGATCCTGAAAGTGAAAGGCCTGCACCTCCGGAAGAAAGTGCAAATCCTTTTATAATTGAGGAAATACCCGTTCCTGCAACAGGTATTCCAACATACCCAGATTATGAGGGCTCAGCTCAGTAGCAAGGATTCAGTGTTTTTTTTATTTCAGGGTCAGAAAAAAAAACACATTTCAACATAATTAATCCAATAGAAAACCAGTCATTGCGCTTCAAGGGTAAACCACTTTGCAAAATGTGTACGTTTAATGCTCTTAATTTTTGGAATTCTGTACCCCAGAACACTGTAGTTGTTCAATTGTTCAGTGTGTCAAGAATAGAGGTCAATAGATTTGAATACAGAGGAAACTGAAGGACAGTAGAATAGTGAGGGGAGACGGAATTGAGGTAGAAGATCATCCATGACTTTATTGAAAGGTGGAGCAGTTTGTTTTCTTATGCACTTGCACATCTTTAAGATCACTTAGCCGGATATGTCATAGGAAATAATGCAATGGTTTTGAATGTTTTATTATACTGTCTTAGAATAATCCACAAAAATCATTTGAACTTCCTATAAAACTTTTAAATTTGTTTATTATTGCACTGTTGCTTGGCAATTAGTTTAAAATATCATGTTTATTACCATATCTTCTAGATATGCCTGGAGAAGCAGAGCCAGTTGATGTGGAAACACCAGTGACCCAACAATTCCAAATTGAACACATGCCTGAAGGAAATGCAGCATCAGAAGAAGCAATAGTTCTGAGCTTGTAAAAAAATGCATTTGAATGCCATAGAATTAATTTAGATTTTCTCTGCCAGTTGTTATTACACAGGAAAGATAGTAGTCCTCTTTGCTATCATCAAGCACTCTATTGTAGAGGTAAACTCACATCTGTCACTATATGGTGCAACCCATCAGTGTCTCAATGTATGTTGAGACCTGTTCTTGGAGGTGGCAACACTTAAAGTTTCATATATTGATTGAATGTGAAATTGAAACCCTACAATCCCCTATTCATTACTGAAGCATAATACAGGGAATGTAAGGAAAGACAAGAATGGCTGTTTTATTTTTAAAGCAGGTGGGATATCCTTCCTGCAGATAGGTAAATAACATGGAACTACCTGACATACAGCACAACAGCAGAACATTTGGCCCAATGCTCTATGGTAGTGTTCATGCTCCAGATCAACCTACTTTATCAACAGATCAAGAGTAGAAATCTAGAAACAAAAACCAGAAATTGCTGCAGAAACTCATCTGGTCTGGCAGCATGTGCAGAGAGAAAGCAGAGTTAACATTTTGATTCCAGTGACTCTTTATCAGAACTCATTCTTACTTCATTTTACCCCATCAGAACATCTCTGTCTTCCTTTTCTCCCTCATGTTTATCAAGCTTCCCCTAAAATGCAACTATGCTATTTTTTTTCACCCACTCCCTGTGGTGCGAAGTTCTTGCCACTTTGTATAATGCAATTTATTTGAATTCCCCAACTTAATTTCTTGATGACTATCCTTTTTGATAGTCTGCAGTTTTCTTCTTCCTCACAATTGGAAACACATTTGTAGAGAGGTTTCTCCTGAAAACTTGCTCGTATTTATTAGTGAGTAGGATAAACAGAACAGATGTGGACACTTTTGTTTACATTTTTATTTTCCCAATATGCTTGTCAACTGAGCTTCATGAATTAGGAAAATTCAAATGAAGCAAATACTTACACTTACCCTTACTGTGCCCATGTCTATTGACATGTAACTGTGGCTAGCATACAAGCCTTTACGGAACAGAAATATTCCCAAATTTTAGATATTATCACAAAATTCCAGTATCAATAAATAACTTGTCCCTGAAGGAAGCTTGTACATGTGACGTAGCTTGAAATCCTGAGTCTAATTCAAAACAGCAACAACTTATTTGTAAAGCACCTTTAACATAATCAAAACATCCAAAGGTACTTCACAGAAATATTACTAAACAAAATATGATGGACAAGAATCAGAACTTGGCCAAGAAGGTAGGTTTTTAAGAAGCATCTTAAAGGAGGAAGGAAACTAGAAATACAGAGAAATTTAGGAAGGGAATTCCAGAGTTCAGGACCCAGGGAGCTTGTCCACCAAAAGTGGAGCAATTTAAATTGGATGTGCTCAAGAGGTCAGACATAGATGCATGTGGATAAATAGAGTCATACAGCACGGAAACAGACCCTTCGGTCCAACCAGTCTATGCCAAACATAAACCCAAACTAAACTAGTCCCACCTGCATGCTCTGACCCATATCCCTGCAAACCTTTCCTATTCATGTACTTATCCAAATGTCTTTTAAACGTTGTAATTGTACCCGCATCCACTACTTCTTCAGGAAGTTCATTCCACATGCAAATGACCCTCTTGTGTAAAAATTTTGCCCCCTGTGTCTTTTTTAAAATCTGAGCCCTTTCACCTTAAAAATGTGCCCCCTAGTCTTGAAATCCCCCATCCTAGGGAAAAGACAACTACCATTGACTCTATTTATGCCCCTCATTATTTTACAAACTTCTATAAGGTTGCCTCTCAACCTCCTAAGCTCCTGTGAAAAAATTCCCAGCCTATCCAGCCTTTCTTCATAACTCAAACATTCCATACCCAGCAACATCCTGGTGAATATCTTCTGATACCTCTCCAGCTTAATGATATCCTTCCTATAACTGGGCAAACAGAATTGGACACAGTATTCCAGAAGAGGCCTCATCAACCTGTACAACCTCAACATGACTTCCCAACTCCTATACTCGAAGGACTGAGCAATGAAGGCAAGCGTGCCGAACACCTTTTTATCTACCCTGTCTATATATGATGCAAGCTTCAAAGAATTATGTAGCTCCACCCCTAGGTCCCTCTGTTCTACAACACTACACAAGGCCCTGCTATTAATTATATAAGCCCTACCCTCGTTTGTTGTATCAAAATGCAATAACTTGCATTTATCCAAATTGAACTCCATCTGCCATTTTCAGCCCTTTGACCCATTTGATCAAGATCTCTTTGTAACCTTAGAAAACATTCTTCACTGTGTACTATGCCACCAATTTTGGTGTCATCTGCAAACTTACTAACCATGTATATTCTCATTCAAATCATTTAATTAAATGACAAACAAAAGAGGACACAGACCAATCCCTGTGGAACACCACTAGTCACAGGCCTCCAGTCCAAAAAGCAACCCTCCACCACCACTCTCTGTCTCCTGCTGTTAAGCCAATTATGTATCCAACTGGGAAGCTCATCCTGAATCCAATGAGACCTAACTTTACTAATTAGCCTACCATGCACAACCTTGTCAAAGGCTCTACTAAAGTCCAAGTAAACAATGTCTACTGCTCTGCCCTCATCAACCTTTTTGGTAACTGCCTCAAAAACTCAATCAAGTTTATGAGGTATGATTTCCCTCACACAAAACCATTCTGACTATCCCTAATCAAATTTTGCTTCTCTAAATGTCCATAAATCCTATCTTTTATAATCACCTCCAACAGTTTACTCACAACCAAAGTCATACTCAAAGTCATAGTTCTTCAGTTTCTCCTTACAATCTTTCTTAAACAAAGGTACAACATTAGCCACTCTCCAGTCATCAGGCACCTCACCCATGGTTATAGACTATGCAAATATTCCTACAAAGGGTCTCGCAATTTCCTCCCTGACCTCCCACAATGTTCTGGGATACTTTAGATCAGGTTCTGGAAATTTATCCACCTTTGTATTCTCTATGACCTCCTCAACTTTCTCTTCTATAATGTGAACTGTTCTTAAAACATCAAACTTTATTTCTCTGTGTTCTCTTGTCTCTATTTCTTTCTCCACAGTAAAAACTAACACAAAATATTCATTTAGTATCTTTCATCTCCACACAACACAAAGCCAACCTCCTTGATCTTTAAGGGGCCCTATCCTCTCTCCAGTTACCCTCTTGCTCTTAAAGTATTTGTAGAATCTCTTTGGATTATCCTTACCCTTATCTGCCATATCACCTCTTTGCCTTCCTGATTTCTTTCTTAAAATGCCCCTACACTCTTTATATTGATTAAGACATTGAATTAAACCATGTTGTCTATATCTAAAAGAAGACCCTCTTTTATTCTTGACCAGAACTTCAATATCTTTATTCACCCATTGCTCCTTAATCTTACCAGCTTTACTCTTCACTCTAATGCCCCTGAACTCTTGTCATCACGCTCTTGAAAGCCTCTCACTTGTCAGACATCCTTTTATCTTGGAGAATTGTGGGACTGGAGAAGATTACAGAGATAGGGATGGGCAAGAAGATGCAGTTCGGAATTTGAGAATGGAAGTACTGCTTGGCACAAAACCAATGTAGGTCAGTGAGCAGAGATGATAGGCGAACAGGATGTTGGGCAAGTTTAAGAGAGTTTGTTAAAACATCTGAGGTAGCCCTCCAAGTACAAAACTAGAAAGGTAACAGAATTCTCAAGAGTTATTCCTTGTCAGGAGATATATAACTGAAGTGTAATAATTTAATTAGCAACTGGATGTCCTTCCACAGTAGTAAGCACCAGGATTGTTAATATGTGCTTAATCAGACCGCTGAGACAGTCTCTGTTAATCTTCTAGATGTTATAAGGCATTCCAGATCAAAGTAACTCAGTTTCAGCAAATAATTTGCAGTCTTGACGTGACTTTAAGACGATGTACTCATTTTTGTACTACCAGCCATGAAAATAAAAGAAAAAATAACTTCGAAAAGATGTGTTACAGTTCAAAAAAATTTTAAAAAATGATTTACTCTCATGAATTCAAAGATTAAAGATTGTTAAAAGATTATCTCACAGCAGAACTTCACAACTTAGGCTTCTCTTAATCAGCCTTGCACAACAAGGTACCTGCTTCTTCAATTTGGAGCACATGGGCAGATATTTATATTAGTGATAGAGCTGTAGGTTATCTCAGTTGTAAGCGGAAGCTTTATATTGAAATCACTATATAATCTGCATTGTACATTAGTTGCAAAAATGATCATAACTCGTGTTCTGAAGAAGGGTCACTAGACCCGAAACATTAACTCTGTTTTCTCTCCACAGATGCTGTCAGGTCTGCTGAGTTTTTTCAGCAATTTCTGGTTTTGCTTATAACTATTATGCGCTTTTACCCACGTGAAATAGTATAAAACATAGAATCAAATGTTACCAGAGTTCTCACCTCTGGTATCTTATGAGATCAGAAATGCAAAGAACTACAATTAATTTACAAATGCCTTAACTATGTTTGCTTTTACATTGATCATTCTAATATTTATATTTCTTCTATGAATGCAATTAGCATAATTGGTGAGCCTGTGCAGTCATGATGGACTGAATCATCTCCTTTTTCCCCATAACATTTCTGTAATTCTAGGTGGACAATGTAAAGGAGTTGAAATAAAAATTGGAAAATGCTGAGCAGGCCAGTAGCATCTGTGGCGAAAATAACAGAATTAATGTTTCAGGAGATATGACAGGTTTTAAATAATCCAGAGACTGTGAAGGAAAGCAAGTTAAAATGGGAAGTTCTGTGATAGGGTAGGATCAGAAATAATTAAATGACCAACAGGATGATAATACAAGGCAAACAAGACTGGGAATGGGACAAATCGGAAAAGAAACAAAAGATGGATTGGGAGGAGGTATAAATGGTAGTAGCAAGACCATTACCAACAGCTGCAGTTCAAAAGAAAAATAAGAGCGAACTTGCAATTTATGACTTGAAATTGTTGATCTCAAATTTAAGTCGAGAATGCTGTAAAGTGTCTTATTAAGAGAAGAGGTACTGTTCCTTGAACTTGCTTTGAGGTGCACTGGAAAAGAGCAGGATGCCAGGGATAGAGAGGTCAGATTGGAAATGGAGAGGTGTATTAAAATGAGAATCATCAGGAAGCTCAGGGTGAGCTTGCAGTCTGAATAGAAGTGATCAGGAAGGCAATCCGTGAAAAATGCATTTGGTGTCCCCAGTTAATAGGAGACCAAATTATCAGCAGCAAATACAGTAACACTGAACTAAAAGATGAAGAACAGTTTGTACCTGTAGCTGTTGCTAATTTGGGGCATTTAAGCAAGCTTGGCATTTCAATTGGACAAATATTTTCAGTTATATGATGCTTTCCAAACAAATAAATTATAATTATGATTTGTTTAGAAAGCATCATATAATGCTCAAATTATAATTAATTTGTTCAGTAAAACATAGCTACTTCATTATTTTAATGACATCTTCTAATGTATCAAACATGAATAGCCATGACAGATGAGGAAAAAGTGCAGATTTAAACCCCAGTGTGCTGAGTTGATTGCTTTCACTGATGTGGCAGAAAGAGCACAGTGATACCCTCAATGCTCCTAGATTAGAGATGGAAAATTGTTATCACTGTTCACTGAGAACTGCTTGAAACACATATATATATGGACATCAGGAGAGGACATAACCTTGGTTGTGATGTTCTGTATGGTTTAGGAAAATACATGTGAATACTGAAATAACTGTCTATTTACCCCCTCTCTCATCTCTCCACATTGCTAAAATAATTCTGATCCTTCAGCTTTGTCTTCTTCAGATAGGGAAAACTCTTGAACACTTGATTGCCCAGTCAGCTTTACTTTAATTTTGTACGAATACAATTTTCATGGAATGACTGCTGTAATTTCAAATCAAACATCTCTTATTTTGCACCAATTGCAGTTTTTTAAAAGATGTGCAGGTTAACTCTATTTGGGTCAAATTAATTGGCTGGGTGGATAGCACTGCTGCCTCACAGCATCAGGGGCTTGGGTTCAATTCCAAACTCAGGTGACTGTCTGTGTGGAGTTTGCATGTTCTCCCCATGTCTGCGGGGGTTTCCTCTGGGTGCTCTGGTTTCTTCCCACAGTCCAAAGATGCGCAGGTTAGGTGGATTGGCTATGTTAAATTGCCCATTGTGTCTAGGGTAGGAAATGCAGGGATAGGGTAGGGGTGGGATGCTCTTTGGAGGGTCGTTGTGGACTCAATGGGCTGAATGGCCTGCTTCTACAATGTAGGGATTCTGTGAAGTTCACTGGATCTTTATATTTGGATTACAACTGTGATTTGACCTTAAATCCAACTCAATAATGCTTATTGACTGGATTTTCTGTGTTGGTTCCTCCTAAGTGCCCATCATTCTGCAGAAACCCTAAAGAAACAGTGTGCTATGTTACAGATCATGAAACTATACAAATTTAAATGTAGATGACCAATTGCCTTGGCATTATACAAGAAGATGAAAATAGCTTTATAAATACAACTTCTTTCCTAATGCAAGTTATTATAGGAACCAGTGACTAAATATCATTCTGATTTGAATTTTTCCCCAAATGAACATGTCAGGAACTATAAACGAGGCTTGTGTAGGGTCCCTGTGGGAAACAGCTCAGAGAAGTTGGGCTGAATGGCCTGCTTCTATGCTGTTTATTTTGTGCAATGAATTTATAAAAGTCCAAGCCAGTGCTTTGATTACCTGTCTAGAAGTAAACAGGTTAATCCAATTTTTGAATAGCAGATCCAAATAAATCTCAAATGGCAAAGAGTCATTCAAAATAGCAGATTACTTTCTCCACCTAATTGCGTATCCTTACCCAGGACTTGTAACTGCTTTTGTCTCATTATTAGAAGGAAACATTTGCTAACACACTTCATTTTACGATCCCACTTCAACAAACAATCATGCAAATGAGGCATTGACAATAAAATTAATTCTGACTGCATATTGCCAGAACATATGTAAACCTTGGGACCTCAGGACCTCAAACCCACTCCTCCAGTTATTAGATCACGGCTAGTCTGCATTTAAATCCATTTATCCATCTTGTTTCTGTTACCCTTAATACCTTACCAAACAAAAAACCCTGATTTTGAAATTTTCCATCAATTCCCCACCATCAACAGCCTTTGAAAAGTGAGAGTTCCAGATTTCCACTATCCTCTATATGAAGCAGTGCATCCTGACATCATCACTAGATGTCCTGGCTCTAATTTTAAGGTTATATGTCCTTGTTCTGGGATCCTGCTCTATTCCACCACAGGAAGTGGATTCCTCTTCATTTACTTGAGCAAATCCTCTTTAATTATCTGAAACACCTCAATTATGTATAGATGGATTTACAAATGCTCATATTCACTTAGTATAATTACTGTGCATTGAGGAAGGGGAGCAGCAGGTGTGCAAGATATTAATTGGATTTCAAAAAAAGGCTGTTATTAGCTGCCATATGGCAGCTTGTTATTATCACATATTGAACACTGCAGAATGCTCACCAGTTACCACAGCAACGACCATACTGTGGATACTTGGGATAATCTTTATCAGTATTTCAGGAGGAGTATCCTATTGCACAGCTAAATCTGACAGACCACATGCTGCATATGCCTCATTATCTACGAACACCGCTCAGTTGCACAGAAAATTCACAAGGTGCATCCAACGAATGTAGATTTTAGATCCTCAGGTGCTAAAAGTAGACATATTGAATGAAAATAGTTGTGGCCATGGCAGATATAAAGCTTTCTGTAAAAATTATGAATAAATTTCAGTTTTGAAAATTCTGATAAATTTATATTTATAATATGAATAGTTAATCTGTGTTTTCTTTATTGAGAGGCCAAGAAGCTGATCAAGTTACTTTTTTTTGAGAAGTAATAAAATTATACATACTTTAATATTATAAAATTACAGATCCTGAATATAAGAGGAGCAGGAAAGCTGACGTTTCGGGTCTGGACCCTTCTTCAGAAAATGAAGATGCTGATGCTGCCTGGCTTGCTATGTTCTTCCAGCTCCACACTGTGTCATCTTAGGCTCCAGCATTATATTCCTAAATATAAGATAGTAATAAATGCAATGGAGAATTCAGGAAGGAAAAACCTTTATGCAGAGAGTAGTTGGATAGTAGAAATTGCTTCCATAGGGGAGTGATTGAGGCAAGTAGTACAGATATATTTAATGAGAAGCTAGATAAACATATGAGACAGAGTATATGTTAAGCTGATAGAGTGAAATGAAATAGTGGGAAGGAGATTAAGTGGAGCATAAGCACCAGACCAAACCTCTTGGGTCATTTGCCATAGTTCTGTGCTGCACATTCCCTGTAATTTTACATGCTACTTAGTTTATAATTTGTGAAAAGTATTTCAAGATGTCAAACTACAGTTCTGTGAACAGGAATAATGGGATCCATCTGTAATGATTTCAAAATATTGATTATTTCAAGAAACCATTCCAATTTGGAAAGTTTTCTCTGTTCTGCTTTGGTCCTTGGTTAAAACTCCATTCTTAACTACATGTACCTACAGCATATGGACTGCAACAGTTCAAGAAGGCAGCTCACCACCACGTTCTCAAGGACACAATAAATGCTGGCCTTGGCAGTGACACCAACATACTATGAATGAATAAAACAAGTACAGTAATTTTTAGGAAACAAAAAATGGATTACAGAATTTGCCATCAACCAATTCATTTTGTAGTTTTTGGCTAAGTATGTAATTAATACATATATGCATACAAATGAATAAAAATTAATCCAGCCACATTTTTGTTCAACTTTTTCAGAAGACAGAATTGTTTGACATGATTTTCAGTAGTGAAAGGTTTCTAATCTTTCCAAACTTGCTATAGTCCCTAACCCTGCTGCAGATGATAATACAGAAGCCACATAAGTATTTTATGGTTTTATAACAAAACAAACTGTAAACATCACATCAGTATAGCAGAATTGGGAGGGCTATATACACCCATATTTATGGCATTTAATAACTTATTGATTTTAATATTTCCTTTCTGATCGTATTCTCACTAGTTGACATGTTTAAAATGTATAAGGAATGCCACACAAATATTTTTACACAAACTAACAGACATTTTTGATTGTCAAAAAAAGAACTCAGCTGACACTCCAGTGTAGGACAGAGGGAGTGACACACTGTTGGCGGAGCTGTCATTCAGACAAGGTGTTAAACTATAACCTTCGCTATCTCCAATGGAGAGCATTCATGGCCATTATTTTAAAGTAGTGCAGGGGAGCTCTCCCCTGTTTTCTGGCCAATGTTTATCCATTAATCAACAAAAATAAAATAGATTATCTGATTATTATAATATTGCAGATTTGGATGTTTGTTGTGTGCAAACTGACTTGCTTATATCATTCATTACAACAGTGATTATACTTCAACAAGTATTTAATTGGTGATAAAACATCTTGAGTCATCTGGTAGTGGTGAAAATGGCAAGACTTTGTTGTGTTTCTTCCATTTTAATTTTTTTTTCAAACTTTTCCTACTTCATCTAATTTTCAGAAAGTACTAAATTATACAGAAGGATTACAACTTCTCTTGATTATCTGTGTATTGATCCTGGACGAAACTGCCAAATTTATGTCACAATCACATGAGGAACCAGTGTAATTTCTTCAATATAGAGTTTCAGAATCCAGCTACTTACAAAAAGAAAAAAAGCCACAAGATGTCACATTTTTAAACAAATGGAAGTAAGTATATTGTGCAAAATTTGAACAGCAAAACATTCTATTATATACAATTGATTCACTAACAACAAGGATAGGTAACAGAAAGAATGTGGTCAAACACCCCACAAGGCACACCAAATAGCAAATGCAGTCTAAGCAGACCACATGAATTTCTCAGCAAACCTCCCCACACTACCCTACCCAGAAGTTAGTAACACTATGGGTCATCAAATCTCATTATAACTTCACAAAGCATTCCAAAATTTGTATTCCTAATAAACCTGTTTAATAACGTTATTACACACTATTATTAGGTCTTGGAAATACTATCTAAGCAGACTTAGTAAGTTTCAGAGATAGTAGGAACTGCAGATGCTGGAGAATCTGAGATAACAAGGTGTAGAGCTGGATGAACACAGCAGGCCAAGCAGCATCAGAGGAGCAGGAAGGCTGATGTTTCGGGCCTAGACCCTTTTTCTGAAGAAGGGTCTAGACCCGAAACGTCAGCTTTCCTGCTCCTCTGACGCTGCTTGGCCTGCTATGTTCATCCAGCTCTATACCTTGTTATCTCAGACTTAGTAAGTTCCTGCATTGCTTTGTGTAGACGGTACACACTGCTGCCACTGTGGTAGAGGAAATGAATGTTGAAAATGCTAGAGGGGTGCCAATAAAATGGTTTGCTTTGTCCTGGATGGTGTCAAAGTTCTTGAGCATCGTTGGAATTGCACTCATTCAGGCAAGTGGGGAGTGTTCCATCACACTCCTGACATGTGCCTTGCAGATGCTGGACATGTTTGAAGGGTCAGGAGATGAATTACTAGCTGCAGAAATCCCAGCCTCCAAACCTTCTCTTGTAGTCACAGTATTAATGGGGCAGATTTTCCAATAGTCAGACAACTATTATTCCAGTGTAGATGGGAGTTGCGCATTGGGACTCCGGGTATCCCCATTGTAGCAATCTCTGAAGGAATTGCCTGGGAAATTCAATTTTTCTCTGAGCAATTCCTCCAAGCCTGGAACTCTCTGAAGGCATCTACCAAAATCAGAGACTTTGATTGATTGACTAATTGATTGATTTATTGTCACATGTGTCTGGTTCTAAAATACAGCAAAAAATGTGGTATAGTGTCACTGCTGTCCGCACTATCTTAAAACACATTGGTTCCAGGGACTGGCAGGACTGATGTATGAGGAGAGACTGACTAGGTTATGATTGTTTTCGCTCGAGTTCAGATGGATGAGAGGGGATCTTATAGAGAATTACAAAATTCTAACAGCACTAGACAGGGTAAATGCAGGGAGGATGTTCCCAATAGTGGGTGTGTCCAGAACTAAGGGTCACAGTCTGAGGCTTTGGGGTAGACCATTTAGGACGGAGATGAGGAGACATTTCTTCACCCAAAGAGTGGTGAGCCTCTGGAATTCATTACCACAGGAAGTAGTTGATGCCAAAACATTGAATGTATTCAAGAAGCCGCTAGATATAGCACTTGGAGCAAATGGGATCAAAGGTTATGGGGAGAAGCTAGGATTTGGCTATTGAGTTGGATGATCAGCCATGATTGTGATGAATGGCGGAGCAGGCTCGAAGGGTTGAATGGCCTCCTCCTGCTCCTACTTCTATGCTTCTATGTAAAAATAAAACACAACATAGAAATATAAAGGCAGAAAAATGAAGGAATAAAGAAAGTATCCAATTTTACAGTCCTTCTTGTTAAGTGCTGCGTCATGGGCCATGGGCCTGGTGGCCAGGCACAAGTCCCCTTTGCCTCACTGACACTGGTAAATGAAAGTCACCACGTTTCGGCGCTATCGTGCCTCCCTCGACGTATCTGGCAGCATCTTGGTTACACACTTTATTATAAAACCAGAATAAAAAAACCCAGAAATTAAGGAAACAAAGCCAAAAGGAATGAGAAATGACCAGGCATTAAAGTCTCATTTAAGTCTTAACTCCATGCAGGCACCTGGGCCAAGGCACAGCCTGCAGTGTTGGGAGGAGCTGAGTGCTTGCTGCCATTGATGCTACCACCTCCGATCTCTTGCTGCTGCCGCCGCCACCTCTGATTCTATAACTGCCTGTATCGCAACCGTGTCCTGGAACATGCTCGGGCAGGGCCCGTTCGCAGCCTCCATTTGCCAGATCCCTCGCTGGATTCCGCTGACCAATACCTCGCCAAAGCAAAAGACTTTTAAACAAAAGAGGAAAAAAAGAGAAAAAGCGAAAGCAAACAGTAAAGAAAAAAAAAGGAAGAAAAGCAGAGAGAAGCGAATAAGCTCGGGACCTCCATTGCAGTGCTGCTACTCTGTCGCCATCTTGGCCAGACTATTGGCTCTAATGAAATTAATCAAAATAGTTATTCATTTCTGACTGTGTACCACTTTGTTGCCATTCCTACTAGGTCTGTCCTGCCAGTGGGACCGAACATATCCAGGAATTGTGTGTGGTTTTGTGTGGAGCATTGTCCGTAAGGTATAATGCTGACAGTTGACTGTGTCAGGCTGTTGCTTGACCAATCTTCAACACACATCTGCAACACACTGCCCCAGACCCACCCACTCACACACTCACTCACCCCCCAAACCTCTACACCCACATACATCTCCCACAAACCCTGCCTCTCTCACACACAAACCGTCAACACACATACACCCTGCACATATGCCTTAGCATACAATTCACAGTGTAAAATAACCAAAGAAACGTTAATCCAACACCAACCATCAAGTAAACATGGTTTGCTTTCTTAACATCTGTGCTATAATTGTGGACCTGTGTTTGAAACTTGTAGATGCCATCAGTTGTCCTCTTGAAGTGTAGATACTGCTAAAGCATCTGCTGCAGTTGGGGAGAAAAGAGGAGGAAATAGCTAATGGCTGCAAACAGTACACAGACAACTGTGGAACATTAAGAGGTGAGATATTGGTCAAAGATGCTGTGAAAAATTTATCAAAGGCATGTAGGTGAGTGCACAATTCCAAAAGGGTCTATTTGAGTGACTGGACTTCTGATTGATCTCTGATCTCTGTCTGCCCTATTGCAACTATCCAGATAGTTTGCATTGGGCCTGCCGGACTAACCATGGCCCGCTCTGAGCACTGCAGTGATATGGAACCCTGACCATCTTAAGTGACTGACTGTGTGGGAGCCCCTGGACTGAGATTGGATGCTGCCCTTGACTGACTGTAGCAAGTCGCCCTGGTTGCTAACAGTCTCCTTTGGCATGACTAAGGACTACTCCCCTTTGGCCATGGTTTATGTGTGACATTGATGTAGCATGGTACTGTACAGGAACATGTCCACCCCTTTGACTGATTACAGCCAACAACCACGACATGTTGCCTGGCTTTGTGTTTGTGCTAAAAGGCAAGGCAAAACAGAAGGACTGTGTGTCTTTAAATTCTGAATAAGAGGGCAAAGCACAAAAAGGCAAGGCAAGGCAGAGATGCTCTGAGCATCCAAGTAAGTGCAAAGTGAGTGAGCACTAAAAGAGGAAGCAAGGAGCCCTGAGGTGCACTCTGGACTAATTCATGGGGTGGGAGCTTGCCCTTGTGCATCAAGTGTCCTGGCAGAGCATTACATTGAAGGGTGCTGTTCCCAAGTGGAGCAACGAAGTGCACAACTGTGTTCTAAGTGAGTTGGAGATGTGTGATGAGATGGGGTGAGGCATGTGTGTTTCTGATGCCAAACTCTGTGCATGGGGAGATGCATGCAATTGCTGCCCATGGAGTGTACTCTGAGATGTTAGGGACAGCTGTCCAAGCTGGAGGGCCAGAAGAGCAGGCAATGAGCTGACATTGCCAGGTACCTGCTCTGACTTCCATGTCAGGAATTGTTTGTCCGGAATATGAGAGAATAGGAAACTGCGTATCAATTAGGTGAGATTAAACATGAACAAAACGTAAATTCAAATAGGTATTTCCCTACCAGGTAATCCCCTATATGGGATTCTTGAACACACCATTCAAACTTGTTTGCAAATGGGATTTTTCTTCACTAAAAGTTTAGAATCTTATTTTTCTCCAACAAAATTGCCGTTGCCTATTTCATTCAGGGCTCAGAAAATTCAGCCCATAATTACATTAGAGAAGGATTGATCTACCTTCTTTGTGTGTCGATGTGTTCTTAAAGTTCTCTGAAGTTCATGTCCATGTGTTCTCAAGGCTCATTAAAATTTTAATCTAGTGTAATCTGATGCAGTGATGTAATATAGTTTGCTCTAACTCCACCCAGACTGTGCTATTTATGCAGTGATGTGCAGCCCCATGATATTATCACAAGGTTGTTCCAGGTTCCTGAAGACCTTGCATACTAAATATTTAGACTTTGATTAAGAAGGGGAAAATAGTGTACAAAAGTAAACTTGCAGGGAACACAAAGATTGATGGTGAGTTTCTATAGGTACGTGAAGAGAAGGAGATTGGTAAAGACAAATGTAGGTCCCCTACAGACAGAAATGGGGGAATACATAACAAGGGACAAAGAAATGGCTGAGGAACTGAATACATACTTTGGTTTTGTCTTCACAAAAGAGGGCACAAATCAAATACCAGAATTGTTGGAGGATGCAAGATTTAATGAGAGAGAAGAACTGAGGGAGATCAATATTATTAGAGAAATAGTGCTGGGAAAATTGTTGGGATTGAAGGCTGATAACTCCCCAGGTCTTGATAATCTACATCTCAGAGTACTTAAGGAAGTAGCTCTAGAAATAGTGGATGCATTGGTGGTCATCTTCCAGGATTCTATAGGCTCTAGAACAGTCCCTGCAGATTGGAGGGTGACTAATGTCACTCCAATATTCAAAAAGGGAGGTGGAGAGAAGACAGGGAATTATCGACCTGTGAGCCTAACATTGGTAGTGGGGAAATTCTCGAATCCATTGTCAATGATTTTATAGCAGAGCATTTAGAAAGCAGTGGCAGGATCAGCGTGGATTTATGAAAGGGAAATCATGCATGACAAA